CACACCCACAGCCACCTACTCGAACAAACACTCGCACTCGCCCACATTCGCATGTACACCCATCCTCAAAAAGTTTCTTTTGCGAGCTTCAGCGAAAAATCATCAAAAACTATTGTATTTTCGAACATCCCGTCATGCTATCAGATGCTCATATAGGGTGGTACGAAATGTCATACATCCGAAGGTCTCATGGTTGAGGAAAACTGCTTATCGAGAGGAAGAATTTATAGGATAATAACCAAATCTAGAAATGAGTTCACTGACTTGATTTATGATAATATGTTAGAAATGTTACTATATTCTGAATGTGACTGTCTTTTCTCATAACTCACACCTCCAATTCCACTCGGTTGCGTTAAAAAATAATGAATAACGGGAAAACTTAAAAAACTTTCGAAGAATTTAAAAACATGAATGAGATATTATGCATCATTTATGAAAGTTTTTTCTGAACAGCCATGCAAACAACAGAACTTCTCCACCGTAAAAAAGAAAGAAAGTTTTCTGAACCCTCTAAAAAGGTTTGTATATGTCTAAAAGCTTCCAAACGCATCTAAATGTTCAAAAAAACGATTATTGAAATTCACGAAACCTTGAAAGAATCTGATCGCGAGTACAATATTAGAACCATCTACTTCGGAACCGTTTTTAAGTTTCGTACAGCGAAAAAGGTTTCAGTAGAAAATATAAAACCTTGATAGCTTTCCACTGAACTCTATGGTTTCGCCCTATGGTTTTAGACGACTCATTGAAAAACTATCAACATTTCGTATTCTCTTCCAAAACCTTTTTTCGCTATATGAAACTTAAAAAAGGTCCCGAAGAAGATGGTTCCGACTTTGAACCCGCGTTCAGATTCTTCCAAGGCTTCGTAGATTTCGATAATCGTTTTTTTGAGCATTGGGAAGCTTTTAGACGTCTAAGAAACCTTTTTGGACGGCTCAGAAAACTTCCTTAATTTTCTAGTGTTAGAACCATATATTTCGTTTTCTTCAGTACAAGCCATTTGCACGCAATCGAAACTTTCTGAGACCGACCTCGTTTTCCTAAACGTCTGACATATTAAATCTACAAGTGTAGTTTAGACTTTCTAAACTCCGGGTGCGTTCTGTGAAATATAATAGCATCGGAAGAACGAAGTGTGTCTTTTCCAATGTGATCCATTCAAAAAACTTAGCGCACATGTGTTGATCAATACATACTCTGTTCAGCATCTTGAGCAGGTGCATATGAGTTTGTTGTATTTTTTGTGGATGATGTTGATCCCGAATCCGAAGAGGTGGTTGTTGTTTTAGGAATTGTATTTGACGAAGGCGTTTCGTGATGAGAATTGGTATGTTCGGGCGGTCCCTGCGATTGATTTGTCGAATTGAAGTTTGGTGTTTGTCCTGCGGATGCATCTGTTTTCTTCTCTACAATCACGTTTACATGTTCGGGCGATCCCTGCGATTGATTTGTCGAATTGAAGATCGGTGTTTGTCCTGCGGATGCATCTGTTTTCTTCTCTACAATTACGTTTACATGTTCAGGCGATCCCTGCGATTGATTTGTCGAATTGAAGTTCGGTGTTTGTCCTGAGGACGCATTCGTTTTCTCCTCTACGATCACCTTTATATCTTCCGTTGATATGCTGTCGGATAGTAACTAGAAATAAACTTTGTCAACAGTTATCGTATTGAAATCTAAAAAAAGTCTCCTGCGACTTCTTTATTCAGTTTTTATAATATTTTTGAGGGATGGGGAGCATTCATTCTATTCAGCAATGCTGAACATTGTAGGAATCAGTTTCTTTCAAGCCCTGAAACTCGATCGTCACACTAAATAAGAAGATCTACGCGACCCTGATCGAGTTCCGTCAGTTCCTGGAATTCCGAGGCGGAGCTAATTACGGTTAGAACGATAGAACAGTCACCACAGAAAACGATGACGACAAACGGTGAGTCACTAACACCTATTCAAACGTTCTGTCTTTCAATCACCATCTTAAACCAATACGTACATTCATACCTTACCTTTTTCATTGATTCACATATTGGATCAATTCCAGTGTCAACACCTAAAATCTTTTTCCATTTCTTTGCCCATACTTCATGCCACGCTTTGTTGCCACAAAAAATGTAGATAGCAACTACGTTTGGCATATCATGAATCTTTGACACCAAACCCTCACCTAAAGCACCAGAACAGATGACCAGCGCTTTCTTATTATTCGTTTCTTTGAGCCAGTTGATGCATTGTTCTGGTTCTCTACAGCTTTGCACTTCTTTAATGATCTTACTGAATTGGGCAAGTACTTTTTGAGAATCTTCATTGTTTTTATCGATAGTTCCATCAGTCCAAATGAGCAGATAATTCTCAGCTGGTGGTGTGGTGTCCGGTACACCCACTAGTTTGCTGACGATTGAGGAAAAATAGTTCATCTACAGAAGTTTTAATTTACAATATACTTCTCAACTGTAAACAGAAGAGACAAGAACATTCAACAACATAATTAATGGCTTTTTTAATCGAAATTTCCATTTTATTTTGATATACATACGATATCCTTCGAAAGATATCGTGGTGGACACGGTGTCTCCCTGATAATGTGTTTTTATAGATGCTGAAGGTGTGGATGTGGGTGAATGTGGGTGAGGGTGAAGGTCTCTACTCTTAACTCACCGACACCCGCCCTCCTCTTTCCTCAGATTTTACTCAAAAACCTCAGTTTTAAGCTTTTTCTTTCTTGCCTCTCCCTCACAACTAGACTTCCATGGCAGAAGAATACTCTTAATCAAAAACGTCTGAGTTTATATAAGGAGATTTTTCGCCATTGTATCCTGTCTATAAGCTTTAGGAACCGGAGTTAATGCTGAATAAACAGGTTATAAGTAGTGATTAAACATCATAATCGAAACTGAATCATTGCATTTTTTCAGTAATCGGGGTGAATATGTGAGTTCCACATTTTATCCCTGAAAGGAGCTGCGTCGACAAGCGTTTTACATGACACAGTAAGGAAAAGAGCCGACTACTGAGTGTTAATTTTCGTCCCCAACGTGGATATGGAAGTGGGAGAAAGTGAATGAGAGCAGTGGCAGCTAACTTACATACTCATAATCGCAACAGCTGCTATTATTATAGATGCAAAAATACAAATGTTCACAGCATCACTCTCTGTTGCTTTGCAAACAGTGAATGATTTTATGTTGTTTATTCTAAATTTTGTACAGCTACCATTTTCTACTGTCAATAGAATGTAAAAATCGAAAGTGATTGAGAAGAACAACAAAAAAGAGACATACGATAGATTTTTAATGTGCCACATCACTGCGATGTAAGAAAAACAAGCAATTCGCCGAAAAAAATTACCTCTCTGGCTTAAACCAAAGTGGTGAAGGCCAGAAAAAAACAGAGTTGCAATTCATTTACTACGCTGATTTGAAACATATTATTATGATAAGTTGCTCTTAAGAAATATTTGATAGGAGCGACTTATTGTCTTGCATGCTATAAGGAGAGCGATGGTATAATTCAGAGATAGAACTTGTATCATTTATCGAAGACCAGCCAATCTATGTAATATTTTTTCTGCTTTCATGACATTCCATTGCTAAAAATTTTGGACGTACATAGTATTTTATACATAATACAGAAAAAAAGTTTTCGTAAAAGACGATCAACTCATTTGTTCATATCCTAGCTCGAAAAATTCGAGAATAGAATCGGCTTCATATAGAACAATATTAAAATACAACACGTTACATGAAGGAAAGGTCGACGTGTGATGCCGATTAGCAAATCCGGAATCGGTAGGAACTCTTTACGAATCCAGCTCGACTCAATTCCTGGAATTAGCAGGCGGAACTGGATCGTGTTCAAATTAAATAATCTTCTAAAGCAACACAATATGAGGATGAGGGTTATTTGAAATTTCGGGACTGGGATTGATTTCCGGAATTCGGTAATCGGTGGTGGATGTAGGTGTAACTATCTCTATTCTTAGCTCACATCCCACACCCACACCCACACCCAAGATGTAATCAAGAGATTATTGTCGTCACACTAATTCGTGTGCTAAATCCTAAACTCCGCAAGGTACTTAACGTGGTGAAGCAGATTATTCCCTTTTTACTGATGATCAAGTGTACAAAGCTGAGAGTGTGTTGCTCACCATTACTATCACGGCTAGTTAAAAACTCTACTCACTTAATAAATACTCAAATTCATCTTTAGCCTCTACATTTATCAATCGAAAGACAAAAAAAATCGCATCTTACTTACTACGCACTTGTGAAATAATTTGCTTCTCTTCGTACGAGTGACAATAATTTTTTTGAAAAAACAAATGTAACAACGAGAGATGAGAACAAAAAATATTCCTTCCGATGTTGAGAATGTAAGAACGATAACAGACAAGTTTCTTTTTCGGTAAGGAGCCTGATGACGAGAAGAAATTAGTTTTTTTTATTGGAAGGAGAATGCAGAAATGAATACAAAAAAATTCTTCAAACAAAAAGAATATAATTATGATTGTGGACAATAAGTTTTTTCGGAGAGTATATTGTAAGAAGACAAACAAAAACCAATTATTTCAGAAGGTAGAATGCAGCAATGATGAAAGACAAGTTTCTTTTTCGAGAAAGAGTCTGATGATGAAAATAAATAAGTTTTTTTGGCAGGAGAATGCTGAAATGAGTACAAAAAAACCATCTTAAGGGTGTGGGTGTGTACTAGATGTGAATGAGGTTGTACCTGTGTGTGTGGGTAGCTGAGACGAGGGCGAGGGTGTGAGTATTAATGATGAATGAGAAGGATACCCACATCCAGCCATCCTATTCCACGATGTTGAATATTGCGAAACTAGTTTCGCCCCCGGAATCAGATCGACTTCAAATTGTATAATATCCAAATACAACATATGACATAAGAGTGAGATTGACGTGTGATGTCGGCTAAGAAATCAGAAATTTCGTGCAATTCCTTCTCTACTCAATTCTCGGTATTGGACGGAATTGATTCCTTATTCGGAACTGGTTCCTGCAATGTTCAACATTAGAATAGGATGTATTCTCAGGAAATCAGGTTCAAAATGGTGTCAGCACAATGTCATATTAGCCAGACCTGTTACTATGGAATTTTTAATTAACCAATTCTATCAGACATAGTTTAACTGATTAAATAAATGAAATGTGATTAGCTTCTATGGTTTCCAAGGTTTGTAAAAATTGTTTCGATAAACACTAAAAGCAAACATTTTTAACAAATTATGCCGATAGGATTGAACTTCGTATAAATAATAATGACAGCTGTCCTCAACATCTGATAAAATTAGATTAAGAATAACTCCTTATTTTTATATTTTTTATTTAAAGTTACACGAACTCCTGATCAGATCTAAATACTAGAAATTCGATGTTTACGATGTTGCAACTAAAACTATATTATAATCAGTTATCCTGATGTATGGAATATTTTTTATAGATTGCTGATATTTTATTCATTCGTACATTCTTCTTTGAGATTATCATTTGGAGTATATTCCATAATAATAAAATAATTCGCGATCTTCTCTATTTAGAGAATATGACACAAAAAACCTATCTACACCGAAAATCCAACATTTCCAACTTGAGGGTATGGATCAGAGCACCTGATGGGCCGGGCTGGGCCTACAAAAGTCAGCCCATGGGTCAAACAACTTTGGCCCGGCCCATGGGCTGCATGTCTTATTAAAATTTGGCGTATACATAGTTTGCGTTATCTATTTAATTACAATTATTTATTATCGTTCTTTGTTATTTTATTTGATAAGTTAAATCACGATTTACTTTTTGAATATTATGAGAATAAATAGATTTTAAAATACGAATAAATCGAAAAAGAGAAGAAAGTATACCAGTTTTCGTACACCAATAAAGTTTATGCGTAAGAAAACGAAAATATTATAAATCCCAAGATAGATTCAAAATATTTTGTAAATAAAGGAATAAGAGGCGGAGAGAAAACATACTACTTTTGTAAATTTCTTACTGAACAAATTACTACTATATTATCAAGTTGATTAAGACTTAAACATGCTCGGCGTTCATTAATAATAGAACCTTTTGAGCTGAAACACTTTTCAACTGCTACCGAAGACACATGAATCTAATGTATTTGCTTAGCAAGTATTGATAAAATAGGAAAAGCTGCTTGATAATCTTTCCAAAAGCCAAGAGGGTTTGAAGACAGCTTAGTCTTATCGAGCTCCCTAGACAAATATCTTGTTAGTTCAGCAGCTTGTAACAGTATATTCTAATATTTTAGTCAAAATTCAGTTTATGGGCCGCCCATCAAAAATCGAATCAGCCCAGCCCAGCCCATGGTTTTTTATTTTGAAAAATCTGGCCCATGGGCTGGGCTGGGCCGGGCTGGGCTGGGCGGTTATGGGCTTGGCCCAGCCCATCAGGTGCTCTGGTATGGATGTCTCTCTTTTCGAAATTCAAACTCACCCTCATCTACACTGTATGTAATCTACGAAATTTGTCTTTGGACACGACTCTTTGCATCATACACTGATAAGAAAAGAATAGTATAGCTGTCGAAGACGAAGACAAAAAAAATATTTCGTTCTCTTCTTCATTCTTTCTGTTACAGTATCGTCTTATACGTCGAGTAAAACACACCATTTTTCTTCTTACACTAGCCATGACTGAAAAGCATACAGGTCATAATTACGCAACAGCAAACGCAGAGCACTTTTCAGAACGTGCACGTAGTTACCGTACTGAACTGCTCGAAGAATTGGCAAGACGATGTGCTACAAGTATTCAAAAAATATATCCATTTGATGTGAATACAACAGAAGTACTCGATTTTGCTTGTGGACCTGGTCTTGTTGCCTTCGAGCTTTTGCCATACACCAAACGTATAGTGGGCGTTGATTCAGCACAAGGAATGGTCGATGTTTTCAATCATGATGTAAGAGTTTAATTCGCTTTATTATTGACAAAATGTCTGCAGCGTTAGTTTCATATTATAGGCTCAAAAAAAGAACATATCACTGGATAAAATACATTGTGTCAAAATCGATTCACTTAAAGGTGATCAATCTGATGTCGATGGACAACTATTCGATGTTGTTATGTATGTTAAATAAGATAAGATATAGAATTATTATAGTATAATATTGATTGTCTAGTTGTGTACAAGCGTATCATCATTTTGAAGATCCAACACATATCACCAATGCACTTGCTCAACGACTCAAACCAAAAGGACGTTTGATTGTCATCGACTTTGCCGATGATGAAGGAACTCAAACTATTCTTACGCGCAAACGCGAAGGTGCACACATTCATACAGTTGCTCATAAACATGGTCAGTATATTGCAAACTGATATTCAATAATTTATATATTTTATTTCTACAGGTTTTTCATTCGAACAAATGACAGATATGTTTAAATCAGCTGGCTTACAAGATATTCATGCAGAAGTATCCGAGCTTGTCTTTACTTTTCTTCAATTTAAAATTCTCTTTCCATTTAGTATGGTTTCAAAATATCAAAATCTGAAATGAAGTCTTATCAAGGTCATGAACTCTTTGGCAAAGCACTGGATGGTGATGACGATATTTCATTGCAATATTTCGTAGCACATGGGGAGAAACAATCATAACAAAGAAAACTAAATATATTCTTGTTAAAATTGTCATAGCGATTCATTTTTTTAATCTATCTATGTTTGTTTTACGTCGTTTTCGAAATATTCTCTAGAAATACAAAGACGAAATTGGAGCTTGCAGAAGATTCTAATCAATGATACAAGTCACGCATTTGGACCTGTTTTGATATATTCAAAGAAAAAATATAAGCGAAAATGGATTGAATACTAAGGATTTGTGTGAAAAAAGATTAGTTGATGATATATAATTTAATACTCTCTCCAACATAAGTAATTATCATCATAGATCCAATTACTGCCAGGTTCGTAGAGTAGTACACATTTCATTCCATCTACAGTGCCACACCAAGACCAGACGAGTTCAACAGGTGTACCACTTGCTAAGCATAGTTCATTCTCGGACCAAGATGGATCTGAAGGTTCAACCATATGCACACATTTTTCTCCGTTAAAACGATTACAATCAGTACCACGTGATCGAAAACTCAAAGGTAATGGTTTATTGGTACAAATATAATTATCATGCCAACCTGATGGATTAAGCATATCAACACGAACACAATACCAACCTTGAATAACACCATTTGAACTAAAACGAAATTCAAGTGGATCATTAAACCATGCTTCTCCTAAACAGATCAATCCCAAAAGCACTAAACTTGAGACTTGAAATGAATTAAACATGTTCGAATCGTTAATAATCGTTGAGTGCAATAATATTATTTTTCATCAATATCATTTAAAAAGTGGTAGTGAGAACTACTTTCAGCTGTTTTAAAAGTACAATCTAATCTATTTTTCAGATTTGTTTTCATTTATAAGATTAGCGAAAGGACAAGTCGCTTTCTCTCAAACACGAAAACAATCACACATACAAGAATAATTAGAAGAAATGAATGAATATAAGCATTCAAATAATATCTATCGCTTAATTTGGCATACACTTCATTTTGATCAAGTAACTCAGGATCAGTCATAGTTTTTACTATGTCTGTCTATTTAATACATACTCATACCATTTTATTTCGGAACATGATTTCATACTTCAAATAGTACAACCAATCTTTATGATTAATATCAAAATTATGATATAAATACAATAAAAAACGAAAAAGGACATACTTTATATGACTCATCTGTAAATTACACAGTGAACACCTGTCATACAAAGAAACGAGTGAGAAAGAACGAAAAGAAAATTTTGTTTTTTTTCTTCGTCATACGAATATTGCAATGTACTTTTGACTAAATAAAAAAGACCTTTTTTCTCTCTTCATGATATAAAGTAATTAAGATGATTTTATCTGGTTATTTATCCAATTACTCACCTCCATATAAACCATATATATATATGTGTGTACAGACTACTGTTGACATACGATTATTATAAATTTTATTTTATTCATTAAAGCAAGACAAAGAAGAAAATATGCTTTCTATCAAATTCATTACCACATCCATCCTATTACTTTTGTTAGCCATAACTGTTACAAGTGAGTAGTCTTCATGTTTTCATTAAGAAGAATAATAATATTATTTTAGATGGTTCAAAAAAACGATCTGTAGTCTCTGGATGCACATTAACACCGGAAATTGAAGAAGGTCCCTATTATTACAATGGATCATTAGTACGACAAAATATAACGTAAGTGTCAGACTAGATTTCTAACAGAATTTTTGTATTTTAAATATGTTTGGTATCAAACGAACGATTATATAAAATTTTATTTAATATTATAGTGAATCACTCAATGGTATACCATTTACTCTGACGCTTAATGTTATCGATACAAATAATTGTTCAGCTATTGTAAATGCAGCAGTAGATATATGGCATTGTAATACTGTTGGTGTTTATTCACATTTTGAAACTAGTACATTGAGTACAACAACATATTTGAGAGGTATAAAATTGACCGATACAAATGGACAAGCAAAATTTATCACAATTTATCCAGGTTATTATGGTGGCCGTTCAACACATATTCATGTTAAAGTTCGTTTTGGTGGTACAGAAACTAGTAGTGGATCAATCTATTACTGGGGCGGACATACATCACATACAGGACAAATCTTTTTTAATGATAGTATTACAACATTAGTTCAAAATACAGCCTATTATAGTTCAAATACTGCTTCACGTACTCTCAATAGTGTTGATCGTGTTTATACACAACAAGATGGTGTTGATTCATTAGTTACATTAGCATATGTTGATCAAACAAAAGGTGTTAGCGGTGGGTTGACAGGAACAATTACATTGAAAGTTGATTCAACAGTTGGAATTAGCAGTAGTAGTACTAGTCAAACATCAACAACAACAAAGGCGTCAACTAGTAGTACAGCACAGCAGCAACATGGTCAACAGAATCAACATGGTCAACAGAGTCAACCAGGTCAACGGGGTTAAGATAGTAGAGGATATCAATGCTATTTAAATACTTAACAATATTATTTTAAAATTCAGAATTTCTTTTTCCATTTTCAAATGTGTACATAATTTTCTAATGTTTTTTTCAAATAAAAATCATTCTTCAATCTTAATTTTGTGCCTTCATTTTAAGTGAAATCAGAACTCTGAATTTATTAGGAGTTTGAATTCATCAATCGAATAAGGAAGAGCGTTGATGAGAGACCTAGATCTATTTATACCCTGATGAAATACAATAAATTTTGATTTTAACAATAGTTTTATTACTAGTTTTTATAATATAATAATACAATTAATGAATAACTAGTGCTTTCAGCACTTCAAGTGCCATCGTCAGTAGAATGAATACTGTAATGTGATGTTGATTAAGCATGATATAATGAACTATAGTTGAGTGTCAGTGAATATCATAAATAACAAATACAACAACTAATAGAACACTATAATATTATCTATTTAACTAGTAATAAAACTATTGTTAAAATCAAAATTTATCGTATTCATACCCTCATTCTCGTCTACAGCCAGATCCACGCTCGCACATGTCTTGCTTCGGACATTTTATTGACACTATAACGATTATATATTTTTTATTATTATAAATAAACAAAGTTATTCATTATTGTAATAAAACGCTTTTCTCGTCTTTGCCTGTAGTGGTATTTCTATTTTTAAATTCAATTACTTATATCATAGTATAATAGCTGATTAAAAAACAACTACTATATATAGTTTTAATATAGTAACAAAGATTAGTATACTATAGTTCTTAATATATAAATTAACTCCTCGATTTTTAAAAGAGGATTATCTCTATTAATCCAAATAGATTGCTTGTTTATTGATTTAGAAATTTTTGAAAATTATGTAAGACAACATTAAAATTGATACAATAAAACAAACAAGACAAAATAAATAAACGAAAAATTTAGTTAATGATTAAATTCTGTTCATTCATGTATAATTGGTATTTGATGACGTGCTGCCTCTGTATGACGACGTTGATGTGTTATTGATATTGGTTGAATTTGGATTGCACGTCTAATATGAAAAACTTTTGAAATTAATCGAAATAATTCTTCTCTATATACACGAGCTGAAAGTATGTAGAGAAAAAAAGTTGTTGCATATGAAAAATGAAATAGAAAGGGAGCAATTGTAAAAGCATAGAAAAATTTTAATGTTGGAGTAAAATCTGTTGGTAAAATTAACATTAAATATAAGATACATAATGGCATATTTAATATAATATAAACAGCTACTTGAAGAAAAAGCATACGAGCTAGTTGACCTTCTGTACGACGATGACGCATTGTTACTTGAGGTATAACATGTAATTGAGTTGTATTATAAATTGTTAATAAACCAAAAATAATCATTAAAATTGGTGGGACAGCAGCATATAATATTATTTGTACAAGATTAAACACTTGATTATAAATTGTTTCTGATCGAAGATAACATCCATACCCATCATCACGTAATTCATATAATACAAGAGTATTTATGAAAAAAATTAAGGTACATACAACAAGAATTAATATTGACCATTTAGCAATAACTACATTACTAAATCGACGTAATTTAGCATTGGATGAACTAGCACAAAATCGATCTATTGATGCTAATACAATAAAATATGGTGATAAAAATGGACATGCACTAGTAATGAATTGAAGAATTTTACATGAAGCATTTGATACTAATTGACCATCCATATTGTATCCATTAGCCAATAAGAAATAAGTAATAAAAACAGTGTAGATAAGATTATTCGAAGCAAGAGCTAAGAAATATTTTGAACATGCATGGTTACGAAGGTTAGCTCGTGTAAGTATAATTATATTGAGAGAATTTCCAGTGATACCCAATACCATAATGACCGGTAATATAATTTGAGCAAGTTTAATAGAAATTTCTGCAAGCGTCTCAGACATTCTTTCTTATTCTGACAATTTTCAATGATATACTATCGTTTATATACATTCATTTATTCCTAGAAGCAATTTTCTATTTTATTTGATAGATATATCGCTAAATTTAGAAACAAATTTGAGTTTATTAAACTAATATCCGGATATTTTTTTTATTTTTTATGTTAAATTATGAAAAAAAATTACCTTGTCGATTAGTAATACCTTTAATCTCTTTAGATTACTTTTCCCGTATTTCTATTTGTAAAATTATGATATAGACAGTTCTTCATGTCTTTTCTTGACATTTTCAAGTGCAAGTGATGTTATTAATTAAATTACGTATCAAATTTAAATATGATTACGAAATCATTTTTTTAGTAAACAATGAATTCTTGTTTGAAAAGATATGTAAATCATTCGAAGGATATATAAATAAATATTATATTTTGCATTAAAACAGTTTATGAAAGTATGGCATTACAAATCCCTGGATGTGTGTAATACTCACCAGGGCTTGAATAATTTTCCATTAAGTTTTTACCAGAGGTAGGGTTTAAAATTCTGTCTATAATAAAAATAGTATCACATATCCGGGGACTTACGATCAGTAGTTTAAAATATTTATCATTTTTTTACTCTATATAAAATTGTATATTGTCGGAATGCTATAGTGAAATTCAGTATAAGTCTAATACAAATTTCATAAGTATGTAAACTATCAAATCAAGAACAGTTTCCAGAATTTCTCTTTAAGTTCATTTTATGTTAAAAATTGTTAATATGATTAAAACTCATTGTTGAAAACACTTTTTCTTTAACATAAAATACCATTGGTTGATTCAATAAGTTTTCACTTCACTCTGAGAATATCGTCACATGTTGTAACACGTGCTCATTATACAACAATCTCTTGAATATTAATGACTACGAAACTCCTTTCTACTTGGAATAGATATTAATTAAACCGTGATGTTAATAGTAATACTTGTATGGAAACCAACTTCTTCGACAACATATATAACTTATATCCTCCCACGGATGTGTACTATTTTAGACGTCATGCCTTCGCTTTTATTAATTATTTATAGACCAAGCTACAATGAATCAGAAACATTCATATGAAAATCTGCAATTCTGATCTAGTATTTTTAATTTATTCGATTTTCCCTTTTTTTTAGTAAATAGTTAATTTCAGTGTTATCTCAAATAAGTACACGACCATATTTACTTCCGAGTGAACATAAAAAATATGTGATATTGTTGTCTATAAGTATACACCTATATTATGTGTTCGTATGTAAAAAATCTAATAATAAGAATCAAAATTTGACTATTCTTACTGATATTATTATGGTTGACATAAATAAAACTTGTACTAAAAATATTCCATCTATTGTCTACAGATTCTAACAGCAGTAATAAATTACTTCATTTTCTATTGAATATTTTTATGCTAAGAACATAAAATCTATCAGCTGTATTTTATTGAAGATTTTTAAAAAAAGATGAAGAGCAAAACTGTGGCTGTTTTTTATCGAATTTTATAATTAAAAGTTGGTTGTTGAATGTTTCGAATAATAACTTGAATAACAACTATAATGGTGAATGAGTCGATTATTTTACTATATTGACAATACAACTTTTCTCTTTGTTTCATGATTCATCACATATAAGTATATTGTACTGAAAGTGGAGAAATTACTCGTTCACACTTGCTTCTAAATACAATATGCGTATATAGTTCTGTTTCTGACATTTTACTCAAAAAAAATTTATTCTATCGCAGTAAATTGGAAATGAAATAAGTTTTTGAGTTTTACAAGAAACAATAAATTAAATATTATTAATCATCTTCTTATTAGCATTCATTTTATTTTAATTATTTTAATATTACAACGAATAGATTAAATATAAAGTGCAGTAAATCGATAATTTATATAGATATAAAGAAGAAAATTTTATACAAATATAAAAGAAAAATATGAAAAAATATAAATCAATAGAATTTTCGACCATTTTCAGAATAGTAAAGTCGGTCATCATCAGTAATACTAGAAACACCAGGACATATCTTGAGGGTGTGAATGTGCGTGTAGATGCGGAAACCAATCAATATTCACACCCACACCCTCAAGATGGGATATGATGGAAAACCAACGGAAATTATCCGGTAAATTCCGGTGTGGAATACTGCGTCAAAAAATGTCGAACGATGTAGGAACCGATCGGTTCCGGGTCGGATTGTTTGACCTGGGATGTCATTTTTATTTTCAACAACTAATTACATACTAGTAAAATTGATGGCAGTAAGTAATATCCCTTATCATATTCTTTGTTCCTTTGTGTTGAAATTGTACATTGTTCGTCAATTTAAATATATATCATACACTTCCTTTTCTTAAACTGACGAACAATGTGCAATAACAAAATACCTTCCCCTGATCCCCAAAATAATAAACAAGTATGATTACTAAAATTATATTTTTTTTAATTTTTAGAATGTCGCTTCAACCCAGTGATATATATTCGCTTGATAATTTAGAAGTAAATATTATTATATTTAATCGCTTAAAAATTCATCTATTTTTTAATTTAGAACATCAACAACAACAACACAACAAATGCACCACCAATTCGTCGTCTTAATGAAGTTATTATCAGTCAACAAAATGAAAAAATTGCGGAATTGACGGAACAAAATGGGAAACTCATAAAAGATAATGATCAAATAACACAGAAAATAGAAGAAAAAGATTTAATAATTGTAAAATTAAATGAAGAAGTAACAATTTAAAAACACAAATTCAAATTATAATGTCAGAACTTCAAATCATTAAATCCAGGACGATGGTTCCTGAAGCAGGATTCCATGACTTTCCGTCAAAACCCCTAACGAAACTCACCATTTCTGGGCGGAACCCGTCCGAAAAATGGCAGGAATCCGATGGAGAAGTGAGGTAACCGTATTCGGCTGCCGGTTTTGACATGTTCCTGTCGATTCCGGTCCAAACCAGATAAATCCGGTCATCGGATCCGTTCAACAGGAATACTGCTTCCATAAAATCTCCGAAATACCAAGGAACCGGCCGTTTCCGTGCCGGATTGTTCGACCTGGGTAATGATGTAATAAGGGAATAGACGGTGATAATTTAGAATATAAACAATAATATACAAAATGCACTACCAATTCGAACTCTGATCGAACTTAATGGGTTCGGGTCATTTAACCGACAATCACTTCACTGACACCATTTCACCGACAGGTACCATTCACCGACAGATAATTTTTATCATCCCAATTGATTTCCGTAGAGGCCAGTCAGTGTAGTAGATTCCAGGACAAAATGCGGGTGACTCACACCCTTAAACAAATAGCGCATGAAAAAGATATGGTGATTATTAATATACAAAATGAAATGAAAAAATTAAGAAACAATTTTGAAAAACTTAATATAGCATTTAAAATAATAACTTAATTAATATTGAATAATATTATCTTTTTAGAATAAGAAAAAATTGAAGCTGAAGTTTTTCAAAACATGAATCATATGTTCAATCAAATTTAAATAATTTTTTTTGTAATACTTCTATTAATATTTGCAAATAAAAAGATGTGTTGAGGTGCACAAACACCTTTAAAAAATAAATAATGTTACATAATTCAAAATTTTAAAACCTGAAATTATGAATAATTTACTTTTGCATGTTGTGTATACTTAGAAATTTGTATTATGTGTTCGTATGTTGATAATCTTAGTTTACTTATTTAAATATCACGATGATATATTGTACATAATTGCTAAGATTGTATTTTCTTAGTGAAAAACAAAACCGTAGCTTTTTTTTGGTTGAATTTTATTATTAAAAGTCGGTTGTAGAATGTTTGGGACAATAACGTGTTCTATGATTCATCATATATAAGTATATTGTACTACGTTTGTAACATTTTACTAAAAAATGAATTATTTTATTACAGCGGCTTTGAAATATATCAAGAATAGAATAAAGCGCTATTTTTAATAAATTTGTTTTTGATTTTGTGAAATGATTTCTTTTGATAAAAAAGATAAGAGATATAGTATAGTCAGTTATTCATCATCATCTTTCTCAAAAGATAGTATTGATTCTCAACTATCAATAATAGAAAATTATTCAAATAAAGAATCTGAAAAGAAAATTACTTGTTCGAAACAATTTCTATTTTATGGTCCATTAGTGGTATGTTTAATTCTTTTAATAAGTGGAATTATTTTATTTATGTTTATTGAACAACAACATAATAAACATGAAAAAGAAGAAATTATTAGAAATAAAATAATTTATCCATTTACTTCAATTGCACATGGTTTGTTTTATTTAAATAAAAATTAGTATTGAATTATTCAATTGAATATTTTAGATAATTTTATGCCTGTTACATGTTCATATAATATATTTGACAAGTATGAAATGTATCGTGCTGCAACGACTTTAAGATGTGGTAGTTATCGTTCATCCTTGATTCATATATTTTATTTTAATTATTCCCGTCCAATAAATTATAATGAAAATATTGTTATAAAGAATACGAGTATTCCACCAAACGTTCAACTTAATTTTGATTTTTTAACAAAAATGAATTTTAATTCATTTGTTCTTATTTTACTTGATCAAAAACATGCATTTTTTCCATCAATTCTTCTAGTTCTTCATTGGATTCGTTACTTTTCATCATTTGTAGAAGATGGATATGATATTTGTCAATATAAAGATTTGTATAGTGAGAGGAGTAAGCCTCACTATAAAATGGCTTTACTTTATGCAACAAATTCTAGTCAGACTATGATAACAGCAAAAACGATATGTTATATAACACTGAATTGGTCTACATTATCTAAATATATAGAATTCATTGGACTAGAACTAGTAGCCACAATGAAATTTCAAATTATTTTAGATTGAAATAAAATTTTAAACTATATATTAGTTAAACATCAAGATTTTGTTAGTTTTGCTGAATCTTACTTACAGCTAACACATGAGACTAAACTGCATTCGGTATATATATTATCTGGATGATTTAGCATATGATATGTGCGACATCTATGTATGACTCAATTGATTTTTTACTGATTGTATTAAATATTATTATGAATTTTCTAATGAAAAGAATATTTTAAAAATAAAGTAAAAATCGAAAAATAGCGTTTGAAATGATTTCAATAAAATATATTTCTATTGGTTTTAAAAGATCAAATGATCTAATTGTTCTGCAAATCTGACATCACAGCATTCTTTCAAACTGCTGATTAGCATTTTTTTAAAGTTAAAATTGAGATAAAAAAATGGAAGCAAAATTAGCTGAATTCCGTAAATCACATGCTCAGAAGCAGCCATCGATCAATTGGCGTACAAGTGTATCTCGTCTAACATCAATTTTTTCAAATTCATCAAAACAATCTTTTGAAACAAATGTCAAAAAAGATGAAGATGAAAGCGAAGAATCTGTATCTGTCATTAATTGGCAGATAATTTTAATAAAATTTTTTGTTTGGTTAACATTATTTATAATTTTTATTCGTATTGAATTCGGTGCTGTTTATTTTATAATATCTCTTCTTTATATAATATGGTCTAGTTTAAGTGCTCATCGTCGACGTTCTAATGAATTAAGTGCTTATTCTGTATTTAATCCGAATTGTGAAAAAATTCAAGGAACATTTTCAGCAGAAGATTACGATCGACAATTAAGACGTGGTGGTTCACCTTTTTTTTCTTCTTGAATTTGTTTTCTTTTTCAGATGATTTCTCCAGTTAAACGTTTATGTAATTCATCCGTAATAAAATATCATTGGCGTCCAATTGTTGATGATGATTATCTTCGTTTACCAAATTTTCAATCAATGATTGTTGCTCATATAAAAGATCGTCGACTAACACCAGAAATAATTTCAGTAATAAATAATATTTATCCATGGACAACTTCATTAAAACATATTAGACGAATACATAATTCAGATATTCTTCTATATCCTTTAAATTTTCAACAACCACTTGAACAAGATTTATTTGAAAAATATTTTGATAATGAAACAAAAATAATGAATATTCCAGAAAATCCTTGTTTATTAAAATGGCAATATGATAAATGTATAAAAGAACATTGGTCAAATATTATTTTTCGTGAAAATAAAATTGTTGAACAATCACAATTAAAAAAAGATTTAACAGAAAATGATGAAATTATTTTAGATTTACTTAAGGTTTAAAATTAAAACATTTTTTTTCTTTTTATTAAAAAGAAATTTCTTTTATAGAAAATTCAAGATAATGATCAGGATTCTCGTTGTGCAATTATTGTTGATAATGAACAACAAATTCCGTTAGTTGGAACACGAGATTATCGTCATGAACATCCATTACAACATTCAACAATGGTTGCTATTGATTTACTTGCAGCAAATTCAATTTATTCAAAAGAAAATTTTCTTGAAAAATTTCTTGAAAAAAAAGAAAAAAAAGCTTATTTATTAAATGGTTGTTCAATTTATTTAACACATGAACCTTGTATAATGTGTGCTATGGCATTACTTCATTCAAGAATATCAAATGTTTATTATTTAAAAGAAAATCAACATGTAGGAGCATTGGGATCGAAATATAAATTACATACTTTAAAAAAGACAAATCATCGTTTTACGGTTTATCAGTTAGAACAAATAAATCTTACTGATAATCTGAATACTTCAGAATAAGAATTTCATTGTTTTATTTGTTAAGTCATATGAATGGATTTTTTCAGATATACATGTATTTTATTTTATCTTGTATTCGATATCCATTAAATAGATTTATTTATCGACAATTTTCAACTTCACCAACAAATCGGAATCTTTTTAAAAGTTTATATAATCATTTTCAACATGGACAAAGAGCAAAAAAAGCTGCACAAGAACGTGGAATTGATTTGAAAAATTTAACTCCAGAACAAAAATTAAAACTTCGACCAATCTTACGATTAAAAAGTGCATTTCGTGTTGTTAATGTTGTAATGGGTATGATGGCAGTTACTGCTTTTATTGTTTGGTATAAACGTCGTCAAACCCAGTATTATATTGGCAAAGAAATCAATGATGAATTAAAACCAATTTGGATGGATTTAAAATATTTTAAACATAAAGGTGCTTTAATTGATAATTATTTATTACCTGAACAAATTGTTGGAAAATTAAATGATATAAAAAAATTTGAATTTAAGAAAACTGATTGTATTTGTTCATCTTTTCCTAAATCAGGAACAACATTAATACAAGAAATTGTTTATTTAATTCAAACAAATTTTGATTATGATTCAGCAAAACAAATTGATATATCTGAAAGATATTCATTTCTTGAATGGCCAACTACAAATCTTAAAAAACTATCTTTAAATTCAAATGAAAAAACAAGATTTTTTAAAACACATTTACCACCAAAATTCTTTAATGAAACTTTTCCAAAAGCGAAAGTAAAAATATTTCTTTGTAAATGAAAAATAAATATTTAATTTTTATTTAAAGGTAGTTTATGCTTATCGAAATCCAAAAGATGTAACTGTATCATATTTTCATTTTCTTCGTTCAATTAATATTGAATTAAAATATTCTGGACCATGGAATCAATTTGTTCAATCCTTTCTTATTGATGAAGGTTCGAAATGGAATTTTTTAAAAATAAAATTAATTTTCTTTTTTTAGTTTATTATGGACCTTGGTGGAAACATGTTAATGATTATCATGCGTTAAATGATCAGATTTTTTTTGTTAGTTATGAAGATTTACTTACTGTATGTATTCAAAAGTTATTGTGAAATATTTGAATGTTTTGTTTTTATAGAATTTTCGACCAACTGTTCGTCGTTTAGCAGCATATTTAGGAAAAGAAAAAGAATTAACAGATGAACAATTAGATAAATTAGAAAAATGGTGTTCATTTGATTCAATGAAAAATAATTCGAGAGTTAATTATAATTGGATGAAAGAATGGGGTTTTACTAATAAAAATTTTTCATTTTTAAGAAAAGGTAACAAAAAACGATTGTTTAATAAGACTAGTATATATGTTTTTGTTTATTTAGGTGTAATTGGTGATTGGTTAAATTCTTTTGATGTTGATCAATCAAGACAATATGATACAATGGTGTCTAGTCGTATTTCTTCATCTATCCCACCATTTAATTATGGAATATCTTCCGAAGATCAACAACGACTTTATGATTATGATTCTGAACGACGTCGTTCCGAATCATCTCCAAAATAAAAAAAATTCTTTCTCATATTTTGTTTAAATTAGAAAGAAATGTTTGCTATAGTTTGGATTCTTGTTTTTGTTTTATATTTGTAGATGCAAAAGGCTGAAATTCATTGGTCGCCTAATGATCGTAATCAATTAGCAGAAATTGGAGCTGAAATAATAATTCATACATTTGATCGACCATTAAGTGGAGAAAGTGGAAAATGTGTTTTAGGTGGAACAAATAAAAAAACAACAAGTCTTAATTATCCATTACATGAAAAAAATAATATCAAAGTTAGTTCATTTGATTTAGTTATAGAAATTTTATTTTTTGTTTTTACAAAATGTTTAGTGTTGTGCATGGTGGCCTTCACAAGAATATCCATATGTATTTGCTATTGGACAACCAAATGGAAGAATTATTTTTGAAAAGTTTCTATTTAGTTTTTTTTCTTTCAAGAAATTCATTTCATTGATTTTTCTAGTGTTAAAGATCGGTCAGATCCATTAAGTCAAGGAAGAATAGGTTTGATTATTAATTTCAAAGAAAATCGAATATTGATAATGTTTTATTTTTTTTCTTGAAGTAATTGATACGAAACAAGGACGACCATGTGTTGCACTTGCGTGGAATCCAAAAATACCAAATTTAGTAAAGATTTATTTTAATCTCGATAATTTAATTAAAATTTATTTTTTGTGTAGCTTTTATCGGGTTTTGATAGATATCGTTCAGAAAATTGTTTATCTGTATGGGATATAAATCATAATGGTATGTCATCACCATCATTACAAACAGGAACAGGAATAACATCATCATCATCATCAAATGTTGATGAATATAAAAGAGTTGATATGTTAATGCATAATCAACAAGTTTGGAAGCCAATATTTGATCATGGTTTAAATGAACAATGTCATTCATTAGCATGGTTTAAACCAAATGAAAAAATATTTGCTGCTTGTACAACAGCGCATAATCAAAGAAATATTAGAGTTTATGATATACGTGGTTAGTTTTTCCTTCATTTTGTTTTTTTTCATAAAGATTAGAAATCGAGCTAAAGAAACAACTGATATTTTGATTATGAATAGTCCCATCAACACATGTAATTTCATTTCCAACCAAAGCTCCATTTAATTTATGTTGTGATTCAAGTGAACGATATATAGCGGCAAGTGTTGACGTAAGTGATTAAGATTTCGTTATTGAAAATAAAAACAAAACAAAAAAAATTTGATAATAGAAAACAATTTATGTATATGATAGTCGTGTGCCTGAAAAAGCTCTTATTGTTCGTGAAGAACATGAACCAATTGTTAAACTTTCATGGAGTCGAATTGGGTAAAAATACTTTTTTCTTTTATTTATTTATTTATAAGAATAAAAATGAATTTAGTTCATCTCAACTTGGTTATTGTATTCGAGATTCACCTAAATTTCATGTTTTATCTGTATCAACAAATGATACTGATATTTTTGTTCATCGAATACTTCAATGTAAAATTCAAATTATTTATTTTTGCTTTTAAAAATAAAAAAGTTTTCAGGTCCTATACAACGATATAGAATTGGTTTAGCTTCATTTGATTGGAATTATTTTGATGAACATCGTCTTGTTTTACTTAGTGGAAAAGAATATTTTGATTATGTTATTCCATCTCGATCAACTATTGTATTCAAATCAATCTTCTTTGTTTCTTTTATTTTAAAATAAATTTCTAATTTAGTGTTATTCACCACGAAATGGACTTTTATGGACAAATGGTCTTGAAATGTACCCATCTGTTATCAATCAAGATCATACGCAATTAACTTCAAAAGTTCTGCTTACATATAATTTATCAAATGTACAAAATGATAGAAGAAATTTAACACCAACACAATCAACATTAAATACAGAAGTAAAATTTTAAAATGAATTTTATTATTATTATTCTGATTATTATTAATTAGTTAATTCAAATGGATTTAAAAACAATGACTAAAGAAACACAAATGACTATTGAACAAATAGAGAGATGGATTAAAAGTAAATAAAATTTATTTTAATAGATCATCTTTTTAAAAGAATTTTTTGTAATATTTAGATGCAAATACAACCAGAGATCCATATCCATTTGTTGGAGTTATTGAAGCATTAAGAGGTAAAACAAAAATGATTTATTTTTCTAAAATAGTTTCTCGTTTATTTTAATCTAGAAGCTCAACCATCATCAACAAGCACATTAACACATCAATCATGGACATCAACGGGTAATTCAACACATACAAAAACTGTTTATGAATCACCTGAAAGGTAAATTTAAATAAGTTTAAGATGAATATTAAAAAAATTTTGTCTGTCACAAATAGACAAATAGTTAGTCAATTATGTGGTTGGTCAAATGTTGATACAAAATCTGGTGGATATGATCGTATGGCATCATTATTAGAACAAGATGAATATGAAAAAGTAGCTGCACTTTATATATTTCAAATGAATGTCAATAAAGCATTAGAGGTTCTTAATGAAGGACTTCAACGAGGTTTGAATTTTAAAAGAAAAGAAATTGTTTATTTTTTTTTGAAATAACTTAAGGTGGGAAAGAAGAATTAGCAACATTAATTCTTGCATTAGTTGGTTCAATACGAGCAACATCAACAAATAATGATGATAATACATTAATTAATGATTTTTCATCAGTAACAAAATTATTTCATCGTCCATATGTACGTTCAATGTTTGCATTTATTCTTACACAAGATGGAAATGATCTTCAATATGAATGTGTTCTTGTAAGAAAAGATTTTTCAACAAAATAAACAAATTTTAATATTTTATTTCTTTTTAGGATGAACAATTAGATCTTAATGATAAAGTTGCATTTGCTGCGAGATATTTAAATGATGATCGTCTTTATGATAAATTAGATAAATTAGCAGATGAAAGTCGAAAAAAAGGAGATCTGCAAGGAATTCTTCTTACCGGTTTGTTTAACATATTTATATAGATAGAAATTTAATTAATTCATTGATTTGACTAGAATTTCTATTGAGTGTAAATAGTATTACTTGATTCATTTTTCGGACAAAATACTAGTTCATTTTTGGCCTATTTTGAAAGTATTTCAGATGAGCCGAGAACTAAGCCGTAGCTTTTACCCAAGTGAAGCTATTAGCATTTTCTCAGGTACTACTTCCTATATAAAATGCCGTTACGTCAAAAAATCAATTTTTTAAAAATGAAAGCGGTAGGAAAACGAAAACTTTCTATCCATCCGTTAGTTAATATTATAGTTTATTTTTACGTAAATGAAAAGACTAAATATGTAAAATATTTGTTTTAAACTTTTTTACGTTTGTGTTACAAACTATTAATTTAAAATGATTTGTTTATGAAACAGAAATTGAATTAAGTATTTTTCTATGAAATTGAGTCGTAAGTTTAACAATGAAATAAATATATAATAATATTAAAAAAAATGTTTTCTTTAATATAGGTTTACGACAAAATGGATGTGAATTAATACAAAAATATCTTGATCAAACAAATGATATTCGTACAGCTGCATTACTTGCTATTTATGTACCTGAAGATGTTCATCAAGAATGTCAATATGTTCAAGAATGGATTGAAGGGTAGATTTGATTGAATAGAAATTGGCTTTGTTTTTCTAGAAACTATTTTTATTATTAGATTTCGATTGCTTCTTGATGAGCTTCAATTGTGGAGTGAACGTGCTGAATTTGATATATATCGTAGTCATGTAACAGGTACAACACCACATCGTCGACATCATGATCGTTCAATGAATATGAATCATCATTTTTCATGTATTTTTTGTCAAACACCACTTGAAGCACATCATGGAATGTCAAATCAAACTTCAACAACAAATTCAAGTTCAACACCAATTCCAACAACACCATCAAAACCTCAGGGTCGAGGATCACAACCAAATAATCAAAATCGATCATCTGGATCATCTTCATATGCTCCACCACCAAATTCTGAATTGGTTTGAAAGAAAAATTTCAAATCTTATTGTTTTTTAATTAATTCAAATAATTATTTTTTTCTTATTTAGTTAATGGTTTGTGCTAAATGTCGTCAAGTTTTACCACGTTGTTCAATTTGTATGATGAATTTAACAACATATATTGAAGATGCATCTTATGCATATGAACCACCACCAGGTTAGTTTACAATTCTTTTCAATAATATATCTATATATATTTATTTAAATAGATAAACATGCATTAATGTCAAGTCAATGGTTTACATGGTGTCGTTTATGTCGACATGGTGGTCATGCTGAGCATGTTTCAAATTGGTTTGCAATGAACGAACAATGTCCGATTGCTAAATGCTTATGTCGATGTACATTGATTGATGGTGTCTTTTTTTGATCAGTATTTTTTTTCTTTCATAAAAATAAAAGGAAGTGTTAGTTTCTATAATAAACAATTCAATTTCATTGTTCAACAACATTTTTATATAAATATTATAACATTCAATCAAATTCATTATTTTTAAAAATAATAAAATTTTCTATTGTGGCAATATTTAGATAAATTGCGTAGTTTTGTTTTTCTTTAAATCTTTTATATAAATTATATTTTTAGGTTTTATCGATTATAATCGCAATCTATTGTAATAATCACGAAAGCTTTGTTTTTTTTCGATTAAAAAAAGATTATAACCGATTTTAATCTGATTTTTATCGTGTTGTTTTACGTGGGTTGTTGAGAACTATTTTTTATAAGAGTATTGAGTATATTCTATTATTTTGTTGCATACTTACATATTGTTTAAAATAAAAACAATCTTTACAATTTAAGAATTCGCAAAGATTTGTTACGAAAATAAATGCGCAATTTAGAGAACGAATTCATGTTCGAAAGGATCATTTAAAGAAATCACCTGAAAAATTATTTCTTTGCTGATCAATTAATTTGATTGAAAAATCAAATTCTTTTGTTACCAAAACAATTAGAGATACAAAATGAGGTGATAATCCGGAAGGGAGACATAAATCTACAAGTTTAATAGCTGAATACTCGAATTATAAATTTTACAAGTTTAAAACTCATAATAAATTAATGATTCCTACACTGATGATCCAGAATCTTGAAAAATAATTAATCCTTTCCGGTCGGCTCTTCGAAAAATATCATATCCCGCCCTACGGTAAAATGTTGTTATTTCCCAACATCCGACGGAAAAGAGTTAATGAAGCAAAGAATGAATGAATGATGAACTTGACTAGAAATAGCGTGTTCAAGTGATATTCTTTGAGTTATATTATTAATTATTTCAACAAGTGAATTTTCAGTGTAAATATATTCTTTTTCTGTTTAATTGATGCGAATATATTTAATTATATTTTGATTTTGTGAGGGTGTAGAGTAAATATGAGATAAATATATTATATACATTCACATCTATGATCTCATTAAAGGTAATATATAGATACTTTCAAATAAATAAAAATAAACATATTGTCGACAATCCATTACAAAGTATGATAATTGCCGCCGCGATGGCTCAGCCGGTAGAGCGTCAGTCTCATAATCTG